TATTATTATTATTTGAATTATGATCGTTATTACTATACTAGTATATAGCAATCGTCCGGACTCAACATGTGTATTATAGCCATAATAGACGTATTATCTTACCTAACGATTTCCCTCCATCTCCTCACTGTATCGCAGTACTATTTTTCCTCCAAAATGATGTAAACTCTTTATTTTGTTTCGTTCGCGATGCTGAACACAATAATATTATATTCATTGCTTCCGATTTTTTTTCCTCTTTTCGGTTTGCAGATGTCTCTTAAAGATACCACAACCGTCTATCCGCGGTGACTACACGCGTGACTATTTTATTGTATTTAGACGATTCGAAGCAACGAAAAATTCTATTTGAGCATAAAGTAAATAGTAAAAAATAAAAAATAACCCATAATTCGATAAAGCAACAGTCACTGTCGGTGATGACTTGAATATTTAACATAACCACGAATTTTACACTTGAGCAAATACCATTTTTGCTAACTTTACAACTATAATATAACATAATTAGTCATTTGTCAACCATATTTAGTATGTGTATAAGAAAACAAATAAAAATATGCTTATTTAAATAATCGTTTTAAATGGTTCCATTAGACTGATGTATCTAATTTATTTATTTCATTTTAATTTAATATTAAAAATATTGTTTTGTAATCATTGTATATAATTTAATATTTGATTTTTATACGTATTCGTATAAATCTTTTTATAACTTATCATTTAAAGAAAATATTTATAAAATCGTATGCTGTTTGATTAGATACACCTAATGCATACGCGTATTGACTTACATTAAATATAAATAATTTTGTGAAACATAACTGTCAAGTGCTTTCTTGGAGTTGAGTTGTATGTATTCGGTAAAAACTTTTTTCATTAATAAAAACATTCATGTGTGATAGAACTCCATAGGAATTGGAATAAAAGACTAAACTATTGATATTGTGGGGTTTATGAAAAATTTCAGAATTCCCAAATTATATATTTATATATATATATACATAATAAAACTTTTAATGAACAATAGCACTATAATTCAAAGAAACAAAAATGAAAACTATTAGCTAAATATTTTTACTATTAAAAGTAAACCGTATAATTTGAATAACATTTTTTATTATTTATAAAAGTTATGGAAATTGTATTAAAACTGCACGCATATAAAAGAAATGGTATTTACCTATAGAAAATGGTTAAAAAAAAATATAATATATTTATATAATATTTAAAATGCCTACGTGAACTTTAACAATTTAATGACGTAATAATACATACTGTACGATGGAAAAAGTAAATAGTTACACGTAAGGAACTTAATTTTCTTAAAAAAAAATAATAATAATAATAATAATAATAATATATTTTATAAAATTATAACGAATTCGCATAGGTATTATGAAACGTATCGTATGTATATTATTAGTAGAGTGTAGATTTATATACATTTGTATATTTATTCTAGTTATAAGTGTATGATATGCTAAATTAGCACAATATTTGTATCATAACATAACGATTTAAATAATTAAAATCTTTTAGTGCATATATTTACATATTTAGACATTTACCCTTTATTTATTTTAAGGGCTTATATTATGATTTGAATTTCATTATTCAATGTTTAATTATATATAAATATATGAGGGATAAAATAATAGGTAAAATGTTCATGAAAAATTTAGAAAAGGCATACGTAACACTTACTGAAATATTAAAAAATTCAAATGGTGAAAGTGAATCAATTCAAACTACCGAATACTTATATTTGATGTACATATACAGTTAAGTTTATTACAGTTACTTATAAATGATGATACTAATTAAATACGGAAATATTACTTTTGTAGACTTGCAAAGGTAATTTTCAATGTATAAAAATTTGTTAACTGGCAAACAACGATCAGTACTTTAAATATATCTAAAATAATTGTCATACAATAGAAATTCACATTTAGGTAAGAACATTTATTTTAGAATATATTTTTGATATTAATTGAACAATTTTTTTTTTTTTTTTTTTATAGATTAATAGAATTATTATTGTATATAGTAACTACATATAAAATGATTATGATAAAATTCCTTAAAAATATGAAGAAAATTATTTTTGTTGTTTATTTTTGAGTGCATATTAAAAATTTTTTTAGAGCATATTTGATTGGTTTTTAATTCATATAAAAATCCGCACTCTAATTTTTAAATCAAAAAATATTGAAAGTAAAATTTGTATTTTCTGCTTGCACACATCAGTTTATATAATATTATAATTTATTGGTGTAATATAATAACTATAATGCACGAAATTTAACAAATTAATTCCTAGTTGCGCTACTGCCTTAAACTCTTAATGTAGGAAAAAGATTTACATTAATTTATTTTTTTTGTCAGTGACATAATTTATCAAACAAAATTATAATATATTTTGTACATTTTACATATGGATGAGGCTAATGCGATTAATGGCATGTTTGAATACTGTGTATGTATAGTGTTGAAGCTATTTGCTGTATAAAGCTGTTGCTGCAGTGAAATGTTTTTTTATGTTTTTTTTTTTTTTTTTGTTCTCTTGATAATATTTTATTGAATCAATAAATTATCTAACGAAATAGACGAACAAAGTTTAGTTTCACCGAATTCTGTAACCCTTAAATGGTAACCGGGAATGTACTCGGATGTATATATGCATATATGCATATATATGCTACGGGTAATGTTAACATTTAGATAATGTCAACATTATCCGGCTAAAGTCGACAGTAGCCATCTGTTATGGCTAATGTGTAATTTTTCGTTTATAAGCAGGAATTATTAACACTATCCGGATAATGTTAACCAGTCAATATTGGATAATATTAAAAGTTGTATATTAAATAGACTATAGAGTTTTTATTAGCATTCTATATATTAAAAAAGCGTCGGACTTCCAGAGTATAATATCTTATCTTGACTTGTAACTGAATTAGCCAGTTATCTTACCGATAAAGTGAACAATATATTGATATATGGGTTTAATATTTATCTCAATTGTATGACATTTTTTGTTATAATTTTATGTACGCTATACAAAATACGATGTCGTACATCGATCTGTTATTAGTCTGCTTCAGTTTTCACACGTGATAATTGCAAGCACAATATTATTAGTGTTAAACTTTTAAGTGTTTTAGATTGCATTTCTAATAAAATGAAAACAAAACTGGAGTTTGATAATTTATTAGAGAAATTATTGTCTGAAAAACAAGAAGATAATTCATCTTATTTGTCAAATGTAAAATATTTTAATATAATTAATGAATTGAAATCTCGTCATTTGAATAAATTTGAAATTATTAATATCGGAGGAGGAGAAAAACTTATAACACCTGTTAAAAAAGGTAGTACTAATTTACTATATTACGTAAAAAATGATGAATTATATGACATACTGATTGAGATACACCTTAATATTGGTCATGGTGGTAATAATCGAATGATGGCAGGAATAAAAAAAAAATTCAAAATTTTGACTGAAAAAGTTGCACTTATGTACAAATAATTTATTGTGTGTTAAATATATTTAATATTGTTAATGATTTACAATGATTTTATCTCATGCACGTTAAATTCTTATGGTTGATAAGACATTATCCAAAATTTCTTGGTTAATATCATATTACCCGTAACATATATATGTTACGGCTAGTGTTAGGAGTATGGATAAACTCAAGTTTAGCCGGCTAATCACAAGTTTAGCCACTGCGTTTGACTAATATCTAAATTTCGGACTTTATCCACTAATTTTAACATTATCCAGATGCATATGGCTAATGTCTAAATAACATTATCCATACAAATAATTAAACGGTTTAGATCATACAAAAATTCTTTCATTTCTTCTCTTATTCATTAATATTTAATAATATCATAGATTATGGAATAATTTTAATAATAATAAAGTAGAATTATTATTAATAATTATTTAATCAATGATAATATGTACCTATTTTTATTATATAGATTTACGGCCACATTTCGTGACAATAATAATGTAATTTTTGGATGGCATGACTATTTTTACTTAATAGTCTAAAGACGGACTCCTATCAATAGTTAATACCGAGATATATATTATGGTCTAATCTAAAAAATCTTCGAAATTTTTATTTTTATGTTTTTTTAAATTCCATGAACTTATTATTGAATGCGATATTTTACAAAAATATTTCTCTGGTCTTGAAAATCAAAATTAACTTAATTGGGATAATCGAAAAAACAATACATTAATTTGTAAAGAAATAAGTTAATTTATTAGTAATAAAATAATTTAAATTAATGAGTTAATTTAACTTAACTTTTTCTTAACTTTTAACTTATTAACTCCCAAGCTTGAAATCAAGATATACCTACAAAGTACTACAAGCTGGTATCTTAACTACTTGCAAACTTGAGTCGGTAATTACTGTAGATTATTACTATCTCTATCGAGCACACAATATTTTATGCATATCAATTTTAAAATAAATATAAAATAATATAAAAATGCACACAACTGTGTACAATATTTATATTATTGAAAATATTTAACTTACCACGTGCACGGTATACTTCTATACAATTACCCAACATATCAATATTCATTAAAAATTACAATTTCAAAATATTGTATTATCATTGTAAGCAGTTTTAAATATTTAATTTACCTATGGCTAATGTTATTTAATCATTAGCCGATAACGGTTGGATAATTTTGGTTTTATTGGCTAGTGTTAAGATTATCCATTTGTTTTTGTTGGATGAAGTCCAAAATTTTGACATTAGCCAAAAGAATTGTCTAAACATAAGATTAGCTGGCTAATCTTAATCTTAGCCAACCTTCGGACTAGCCGTAATATATATATATTATAAAGGCAATCGTGTAAACATAATTTGTTCCAATTTTTTTGCAAATGTTTTATTTTTAAACGTGGTTTTATTAACTGCACACAATCCCGGCGGTTAATTAAGGATTATTATTGTTTCAGTCAAAGAGAAGAAATTCGGTGACAAATGCGATTCCAACGAGGACTGTCATTTCAACGGGTCGATATGCACAGTGGACCGGAGTAACAAAAAAGCATCTTGTCAGTGTCGACCCGAGTTTGCGGTCACCAACCATATAGATAAATGTGGACAAGGTGAGTAAAATATTAACCATTCATTATTATTATTATTATTAAAGACTTTTTTTGATCTAGTTTTTCGTTTCTTTACCCATATTGTTTTTTAATCGTTAGATCCGCGATAGTTAATCGTGCTCTAGCACCCTTCGCATCGAAAACGACGATACAAGTGCCACGATGAACAAAACTTATCAAGTCATTTGTCCTTATACTTTTAAATTTCATCAATTTACTGCTGTAGGACTATAACATTATTATAATATTTTTACTATAAGCATTTATTGTCCATCGACAATACGCTATATTTTATTTATATGCAAGTGTATGTGATGGTGCAGAAGACCCTTTACCTTTTTATATGAAAAACAAAAATAAATTATTTTCAAGATATTTTTCGTGTCAATGTTTGTTAAGTAGTGCCAATGGCTAATGAGGAGAACGTATGAGTATTTTTTTTTATTTAACTTTATTGATTTAACCAATCGTTATTGAAAAAGGGCTCCCATATTAGCAAGTGGCCACGCGTACACTACTAATTTACGAATACACTAATATATATATACGTTTTTGTCACTTCGATTTATTTTCTTCTCGGCATTTCAAATAAATACATTGAACCTCCATCATTATCCGTGTAAAATAACTTATACGAATTCCTTGGAGTTAATTTCAAAATAAATATTGCTTTGAAAGAATCTAAATGACGGACCATTGTAGCCGAAATTAAACTCACGCTTATTACTACAATTATTATTGTTTTAATAAATTTTGAATAGTTCAGAAATGTTATATCTATAAATTATAAATTCCGTTATAATGGCACTAAAGAAAAATATTTTTATTGATAACATTGAAATCCACTATTATATTATCACCAATTTCTTAATAAAACTGTTCTCGTTTATAATACAAACCATTGTATTCGTATGAAATTAAAACCATTGGAATATTATTGATTTAATTTTAACTTTTCAAAGTTCCAACTATTTATTATCGTTATAATTTAACAACATACATAGTGAACTATATTAAATTAATTACTATAATTTTAAAAACTATGGTACTAAAATGTTACGATGCACAGTTCTGTATATTTTTATTCTGCACTCCCTTTCCGCCTGAGATTGGGGCATAACATTCTTCTGTTCGTGCCAAACCTTTTACAGAGTTTCTTTCTATTTTGCCCTCGTACTTCCCGAGGGATTTCCTCGTTCTCGTACACTTTCATCTATTAAAGTTATTTTCAATTCTAATACTTTGTAGCTAGTAAAAATATTGACTAACACAATACATTCTCTCTTGTAAAGGTAAAATATATCGTTAAATAAAATTATACGAAATATCAAGTGATCAATAAGTTTCCACGTAATACTTTGTTTCGCACCTAATATATTAATTTGATATAACAATAACGACTTGGCGAAAGATAAGATTCGGATAATAACCGGATAAACGACTGAGTTAGATGCCGTACGCAGCTGAATAACGTTTCTAAACCCGAAGTGGGATTGTTTTTATTTATTCACAGAAAGCTTTGTGTTGATAACATTTGATACTGTTGATGTCCGATGAAATCTGTTTCGCATGATTATGACTATTATGACTAGGAAAAAAACATACAACCGTTTCTAGAACATGCGTTTATTTATCGTCCTTGGATTTCGTTATAAAAAAAAAAAAATCGAACCGACACTCCCCGCGTTCGAAATAGTCGTTATTATTTTGCTATTCCAGTTTTTTTTTTTTTTTTTTTTTCACAAGCTCTTTATCATTTAACGTGTTTAGTACACCGACCCGAGACGTGACGCGAATATTCCGTTCAGTGGCGTTAACGCAAGCCGAGTGATTTACCGGTGTAAACGAACATGTCACGCGCATACGCATGAATGTCCTGCTCGAACATTTAAAATATTTAAATGGTGGCTGACGAACAGAACCCGGTAAGAACCCGACGCCGGCCGCCCGTGGCCAAGGTGCTGCGACATTGAACACATTGTGTTCCCGTTGCATACCGCGAGCGTGCGTCAACAGTAGTCCGTACGCGTACCGCGACGGAGTGTGCAGACACGTTCGCGTCGCTATTGGAAAATCTCGGTCGAGACCCCGTCGACACCAGAGGCTAAAGGACTGACTCCCCCTCACCCCTCCCAGTTGCCCTTATTTACAAATATTTGTTTTCATATTCACCCCCGATTTAAGATTGTATCTTGAAATCGCGGTCGTGTCCGAGCGGATAACCCGTGCATTTGACTGACCGTAACGGTTTACAACCGTTTTTTTTTCTACATTAGCAAGCATTTTCAATTCGGTCGATTGGACCTTAAAGTTATTTTGCTTGACGGCAGATACAGTTTTTATTTCGGCTGTCCGTTTCTCAGATGTTTTCAATACGACTTAATTAAAAACAGTCATTTCGAGTAGGTATACGATTTTCACTGTTCCATTCAACTGTACAATTTTTTAACAAATATTACCTTTGGGTGATTTTTTCAATTTATTTTCTTCAATTTCTTCTTCTTCGAAACTATTGCGCTTCCACTGAGGGTTTAACTCTGCTATCAAATGTTCTTGATCCGCCATGTACTCTGATGGTTTTTTCCATTTTTCCGTCTGTGGGCTTCTGCACGTTATTTGTACTTGATTGAGTCGAGTACGCCATCGATTTTTTACCTGCATTCTTTAACTCGCCGTGTTGATATACTTCGAGGTTTTTCATCGATTTTCTTATCGAACACTTTCTTCGTATTGATAACTTTATCTGTTCACTTGAGGCTAGACTCTTTCCACTCCAGTGTTTTTGTCGTCAGATAATCGAAAACTTAGGCTTAGGTCGATGGTATGTATGTTACAAAAAAGTTTTCGGATGTGCAAAAAATGTGCGAAATAATAAATATCTATCTTTCACCGAATGTTAATCATCGAATGATGTATCAAAATCATTTTGTTGAAGACCACGAGATTTATTAAATATGCGTTGCCATAGATATACTGTATAATATGGATATCATGAAAATTATACATAAATATATATCTATACTTGTTTCCCTCGCAACAACTATTTTAAGTCTCAAACCCAATCCATTCGTTATTAACAGACGTTAATGTGGCGATTTATTTCAATATGATTATTATTTTTATATTTAATTTGTAAATAGTTTATTTTTTTTTATATCTATTAAGTAATCCGACCAATGTTGAATGTAAAGTATACGTCGTTGACATTAAAGTAATACTATGTATTGACTACAATTCTAAAAAACGTACAATATCCAGATGTTTATTATTTATTTTGTCAAGAAGAAATCGACAACAAATATATTAGTTTTGTTAGTCGTTCGAAACTAAAAATGTACAGTAACGCGTCTATATGATAAATATCCCAGACCGTTCCAGAAACGAGCGTGTGCAATGAATATGAAATATTGTGCTGAAATCGTATAATCGGTTCGCAAAACTTCCGTCGGCAAGCCCTCTTTTTGTTTCAACCCTATTTTCTGTCTTACCAATATTTAAATCGGCACTGTAATAATAATTATGGTCTTGTGGGTAATTTCATTTTTATCTGATTGACGCCAATCGCGTGACATTACGGCGGTATCCTTGATTGTGAGTAATATACTTATACATGCATGCCATACTTTGGAATAATTTTCAAAAGTGAATATATTCGTACGCCTACATTTCAACGTATTAATTCTATAGATACACTCTTAAAAATCAACTAAACATTTAAACATTATGTACAGATAAACCATTTGAATATTCATTTTTACTTTAATTTTTTTTTTAAATAAATAATTAAAAAATTTTAATTTGACCATCTAAGGCAGTAGTTCTCAATTGGGTTAACATGGACACTGTGTTGGGGTAACGGGAAAAGGAAACAAATAAAAAAATAATTAATTTTAATAAAATCATATTATTTCCACAACTGTCATGTAAATAGCATACCTTTAAGTTTGTATCTTTATATTATTTAGATCCGATAAACACGTGCAGTATTATTATTAAAGCGAAATTGCTACATTATTGATTGTTTTATCTAACCAGGGTTGTTAATCAGTTATTTTGCAGTCGCTAGATTGTAGTAATATTCTAGAAATATTATAGTATATTATAGCTCTACAACTCTATAAAACAATATGAGACTCAGTATTTCCACCATCGGTCTTCGACTTCCTCAACTTTGTACAAACCACCAGAGCCCAATTTCACATTAGTTATTTTTTACAAATTATTAATATTTTTTCTCTCTATTTTTTTTTTAAAAAAAATTTGCAAATTTAAACTTTAAAATGTCAATATTTATTGAACCCTGCAATTCAATACATTATATGTATATTACTTATTATTATTTATTATAGGTGTATCACTTATTATTTTTCTGTGCCGTATTTTTTGTTATTTCAAGAATTATTTTAAAATACACAGTTAAGATTATTTATTATTTTAATATTATGGTGACGCGGTGTTTAATTATAGTGGTTAAAAGTTACACGAATGAGAAAAGTATGAAAATCACTGATCTAAGGTATTCAAGCAATAATTAAAAATAAAATGATTGAAAAATAGATTTTCTTGTCATAATTAACGTATTGTGTTTCGAAATAATATTTTTTTGAATAATATATAAGTTAAAGTCACAATAGCTTTTAATTAATAATTGATAAAATTATTATTTTTGCAGAAGGAGCGTACATTTTCCGTTTTAATTGCTGCCGTTAAGTCACGCATTTTTCTTTTCATATTTTTAAAAAGTACTGAAATAAAAAGAAAAAAACAATGTTCCTTTTAAAAATTACATAAACAGTTGAAACGTTTGTTAAATCATAAATTATATTTAGTTTTTAAATATTTTAACTTTCTAAACATTCATAGATCTATAGTTAGTAGTCTCTTCATATAATACTAATTCCAGTTGAATCAATTTTTTTTTTAATTTTGTCCGCGTATAATGAAAAAAAAACCCCTTTTTCTATTATAAAAAATATTTTTGTACCAAATTAATAAAGATA